TTTCTAGAAACTAAAACGCTCTCAAAAACGATCAAAATTTTACGATACAAAGATAAATCATAACAACGATTACGATGAAAATCATTATTTCTAGAAGCTGAAATCTGTCAACTATAAAAAATTTCATAATAAAAAAATTAATCGTAATAGCGATTACGATGAAAATCACTATTTTTTGAAGCTAAAAGCTGTCAAAAACGATCAAAATTTCGTGATTCAGAAATTAATCATAACAACGATTATGATGAAAATAATTATTTCTAGAAGCTGAAAGCTGTTAAAAACAATAAAAAATTCCATGATACAAAAATTAATCATAATAATAATCACGATAAAAATCACTATCTCTAGAATCTGAGGGTTGGATTATGCAGTCAAATTCTTCAGAAAAACCTCATATCACAATAAAATTATCCACAATAAATGAGCTCTAGAATTAATCCACGGCTGTACTTCGGGGAAAAGCTCAGAATTAAAAAAAACGTGCCTTAGGGAGGAGATGTTTGTTATAGAAAAGATCCAACGATATATCGGGAGCTGTTACAGGATATGTGTCTGGCCAGGAAATCTCCAGCAGGAATGACTTGCTATCACCATCGTCGCCAAATTTATACTAAAACCTGTAAAACTGCACTGAATACTGGACAAAAAGAAATCTTTTGAGTTGGACAAGACCAATTACATTTTAGATCGAACTGTGTTACAATATCCAATGACAACTTTTATTAAAATCATGTAAGTTTACATTCTATTAGTAGGTCTCCTATAAATTCACCTTTAATACTGGCGAAATGGGGCACTGTACTGATGATTCCCACCCCCATTTCGCAACAATTTTGCCGTCTGTGTTTACAGCTCCGGAATGAAACAACCAATTTCCCGCCCCTATTTCGCAACAGTTTTGCCGTCTGTGTGTTTACAGCTTAGGGATGAAACAAAGGCAGGTTACCAAGTCACTGTATATATACAGGCTTACTTATTTGGGAGATCTTTAAATGGCACTACTTCCACTGTGTTTTCATATTAATTATCAAAATTCGACTGTGTTCCTCTCCACCCTTTGGTGGGCCAACAACGCCAAACAAACTGCATATATGTGATTTAGCTGGGTTTTCACCATCTCCAAACTACTGCTCGTCTAAAAAAGATAAAAAACCTGGAATTTGTTGTCGGCAACCACGTTGAAGCGTTCGTCACCATCAAAAATCGATCGCAACACATCCAATTCAGTTTTTTGCTCTTCCGCAACATCCATTCAAATACCTAAAATTATGGTTGTATTCAAAAAGCAGGTCATTTGGCAAGGATGACTGATAACAGATGGACGAAACGAACGGTGCCCGGTGATGCGTTAAACTAACACTGGGAAGCCCATCGGTCTTTGGATGGACTCTAAGTTGGATTGCGTGGATTCGTGTGGATATGGAGTCCAGGTTGAGAAAAATGGGGGAGGGGCGAGGGGGCGAGGGGGGTAAAAGATTTT